TCAATCAAAAAAACCAAAAAAGTTATTCGAAATCGACAAAAACACTAAAAAATCCTTCGAAATCAACCAAAAAACTTTAAAATTCCCTCAAAAATGTTGTAATTAGGTTAAAAACACATCAGACGATTTTGCGGGTTTTTTATCTACCTTAAAGGTGACCCCACTGAACAAAAATCTTGGATCCGCCACTGCATGTGATATTGGCAAGAAACCACGTCTGGAATCTTTCCTCTCGAATCTCTTCAAGATTTTGTCAATATATGCACTTTGGCTCTAGCCAATAAGCCTCTTAGATCTATCCCTATAGATCTTTATCCCTAATATATGAGCAGCCTTTCCTAGGCCTTTCATTGAAAAGCACTTCCCAAGCCAAGACTTTACGCCTTGTAAGGTTGGGATGTCATTTCTGATAAGTAATATGTCATCCACATTCAAGATCAAAAACATTATTATGCTCCCACTAGCATTTTTAGAACACATAGCTCATCTTCGCTCTTGATAAAATTAAACTCTTTAATTTTGTCATCGAAGCAAAGATTCCAACTTCTAGATGCTTGCTTTAATCTATAAATGGATTTCTTAAGCTTACATACTTTATTAGGACACTATGTATTGATAAAACCCTTAGGCTGTGATGTGTAGACATCTTCATTTAAGTGTCCATTGAGAAAAGCCATTTTGACATCCATTTGCCATATTTCTTATTCATAATATGCATCTATAGCAATGATTATTCTAATAGATTTTAGCATGGCTACTGTAGAAAAGGTCTCATCATAATCAATGCCATGAATTTGAGTGAAACCTTTTGCTACTAACCTTGCTTTAAAAGTATGCACATTTCCATCCATGTCGGTCTTCTTCTTGAAGGCCCATTTGCTCCCAACGGCCTTGTTGTTAGGTGGAAGATCGACCAAGTTCCATACTTGATTGTCGTACATTGATTGCATCTCGGTGTTCATAGCTTCAAGCCATTTATCATATTCATGACCCGATGTAGCATCTTTGTATCTAGTAGGCTCATCTTGATCTACTGATAAAATATTATCATTGGACATGAGAAATCCGAATCTCTCAGGTTGATAATGAAATCTACTAGATTTACGAACACATTGCGTTTCTTCCAGCACGAAAGTAATTACTTGCTCAGGTTCAACAAGATTTTGTTGAGTGTTAATGCCAACCTCTTGTGGTTCTTGAATTTCTTCAAATTCTATATGCCTCCCACTAGTTTCCATTAATAGAAACTTCTTTTCTAAATTTTTTGCATGATAGCAACAAATAATTTGTTTTCGACAGGGAGATAGAAATAACCCCTTGTTTACTTAGGGTATCCCACAAAAATACATTTTTTAGATCTGGGTTTTAATTTATTGATGGTCTCACGTCGTACATAAGCCTCAAATCCCCAAATATTCAAGGAAAAGATTGGAACCCTTCCATTCCATAGTTAGTATGGTGTCTTCTTGAACTCTTTAGTTGGAACCGTATTCAGTACGCGGACAAAAGTTAACACTGCATAACCCCAAAAAGATATTGGGAGAGTAGTGAGATTTATCATCAATCGAACCATATCAAGTAGAGTTTGATTTCTCCTTTTTGGGTACACCATTATGTTGTGGTATTCTAGGTGGAGATAATTGTGACATGATCCCATAATCTTTTAGATGGTCACTAAAATCTTGACTTAAATATTCACAACCATGATCTGATCGGATGGCCCAAGTTGATTTTGAACTTCACTCGGAAATTATTTGAATATTTGAAAGGTTTCATATTTATGTCTTATCAAATAAACATAATCAAATCTATTGAAGTCATCAGTAAATGTTATGAAGTAACATTCATTACCTCTAGACATGGTTCCAGAAGGACCACATATATCAGTATGTATGAACCCTAAAAGATCAAAAGTTCTTTCACCAGTACCGGGTGAAAGGTGTTTTAATCATTTTGCCACTTAGACAACATTCACATACATCAAATGATTCATAATCAATTGATTCTAAAATTCCATCCTTTTGAAGTTTGGATATGCAGTTTTTGTTTATGTGACCAAGACGACAATGCTATAGATAATTCTAGCTTAAGTCATACTTAAATCGTTTGGTGTTTGCGGTATATATAGAATCGTTATTGGATGAACCATGGATATCAAGCTCATATATCCCATTATGAGGTCATGCCTCAAAGTAGAACATATCATTTTTGGAAACAGAAATATTTCCATTAATAATCCAAAAGAGTACCCAAATTCATACAATCTAGAAGCTAAAATGATATTCCTAGTTATACTAGGTACAAAACAACACTTGTTCAAATTCAAGATACAAGCCATTTGGTAATAATAAATCAAAAACTCCTATGGTAAGAACATAAACACGTGCTCCATTGCCAACTTCGAGGTCCAATTTGTCTTTTTTCAGCTTTCGAGTCTTCTTAAGCACCTGCACATCATTACAAATGTGAGGTCCACAACCAGTATCAAATACCCAAGAGTTAAAAGCATAATTAAATAGTTTTATCATATACATACCTGAATTGCTAGTGCCACTAGTTGATTCCCTTTTCCGGGCAGTTTCGCTTATAGGGTCCAACTTGCCAACAATGGAAGCAAGTGGTAGCTTTAGCGGGTTTCTCCTTTTTCTAAGTGGGTGCCTTTGATGTATCCTGCTTACCCTTTCCTTTCCCCTTTCCTTTGTTGTTGCATTTGGGATTGATATAGGGCTTCTTGAATTTTCCCTCCCTAATCATGAGGACATGAGATGACTTGCTCAAAATGTTTTTCTCAACAATTTTCAACATCAAATTAATTCCGATACGGATTTCTCCCAATTATTCATATTATAGTTCAAGAAGAACTGATCATATGACTTAGGTAGTGAAATGAGGATCAAATTTGTTTCCAACTCAGTAGATACAGTTGATCAAAGTCTCTCAAGATGATCAATTATGCTTTTCATTTTCAGGACATGTGCACTAACATGTGTACCTTCCATCACTTTACATGCATGCAATGGCTTTGACCGTTTCATAGCATTGTTTCCTTGCTTGCTGCTGAAACATCTCTTTTAGCTAAATCAGTATCTCATAAGAACCAAGATGTTCCAGCTCCTTCTAAAGGTCTGGAATCATAGTGGCCAACATGAGACAAGATATCTCATTTGAATCATCAAAGTATTTCATCCAGGAATCTCATATGTTTTTAGCAACATTGGTGGGAAGCTCCTTAGGTACGGCTCCATCAAGAACATACAATTTCCTCTCATGCTTGAGGACAATCCTCAAGTCTCGGCACCAATCGAGGAAATTCATATCATTGAGCTTATCTTTCTCTAAGACAAATCTTAGAGAAAGATTGTGAACGAGTGTCGTTGTAGTTGTTTTAGGTGCCATCTACAAAATTTAACAAAGTTCGTCTAGTATTTTTAAAATTTTATTCTTTAATTAAACTAATTTCCCTTCTAGTAAAAAAACATCAATTTTTTTTAAAGTTAAGATCCATATTTCACTTTGCTTATGACTGACGGAGGCACTGATCACAAGTTCAAGTTATTTAGGTAGCAATAATTACCAATTTATGCAACTCTTAAGACTTCCTGGATTCTATGACAACACTCTATCACCAGGCACGTTAATCCTATCTATGCCAGCTTTCTCTAATAATTGGCGAAGACACTGTTTTTAAGATCAAATTTAAAGTCGGCCTTTTAAAGATTATGATATTCAGCCCACAACTGTTATAGGAATCACAAACGCCACCTTGCATGTTACAACATAATTAAGTGGTTGTCTAGGGTACTATCCACTAAACATTCTAGTGACAGACAAGTCTTTTAAAAAGATGATATTGACTTGTGTTTTAAAAAGAATTTGTTTATTTTGTATTAGTCGGTTTTCTTTTTTTCAAAATGATGTACAATGATAAATGCTTGCATTCGAGAATCATTGTACGGTTTTTTATAGTAAAATTATATTTTACATGTCGAAGTTTGAATTTATTAAAATTTAATTTTATAAAATTTAATTTATGACCATTTTTAGCTTTAAAATATAACCTAAAAAACTTCTAATTAGAGTTTGATAATTTTAAAACTCAATTTAATTTGTTAGAACTCATTTTATGACGTTCTAAAACATAGTTGAGTTTTTATAGAACACATATTTGTATTACTAAAACCATTTTGGTTGCAATTTTATAAATAACAAATGCCAAGCTTAAAATTCCGTTTTTTAGGATTTATAAAAACATTTTCTAACAACCGAAATCCTATTTCAGCTACCCACATATATCAATAGGTAAAGGATCGTGTGAGAAAAGAAGTTAGGTCAAAAGCATAAGAAGAAATCTGAACTCTTGATCACTTTAATCTCATGTTTACCCATGCATTTCACTTTAGAAGGGAATTAGTATTAACATTCAATTAGAATTGATCCACGGGCAGAGATCTCTTCTTACGCCTCTCACCATAACCTCCTTTCTCACCGGAACCCAACCCTATATTAACAAACATATATATAAACCATAAACAAGCGAAGAATGCATAGGCAAGCCACAAACTATCATTTTTGAGAGCCAACACAAAACCGAGTCAATCCTAAGAACATGAACCTAAAATCTTTCTTGTGACGGTTTTAGAGCTCCCACTAACCGCATCTTCTGTTGATGGTAAAAGTGCACTTCTTGACATTTTGCACTCCATGACAACACCTTCCATCTTGTTACATATTTGAAATAAAATGTACAAGTCCTAAAACTAGTACTTTTACAATTAAAAACAAGAAGATAAAAAGAAAAATATTACATGCCATAAATCATGAAATAAATATTATTACATGTCAAAAAAAAGCATCACAACAAAGGTATAGTGGCTTGCTATGCATCAACAAATTCACCTAAACAATTTATATAACAATGACACCTTTTACAGCTATTCATGCAAGAAAAATGATTGTAACCAAAAACAAAGTTGCAACAAAAGGAATCAATATTTCTCTACTAAAAGAAAAATGATGTCATATACAAGACAGGTTGACTTTTCATGATCGTCCATTGTATAAAATACATATAGTCTTTGTCTTACATGATAATGTATATATACAAAAACAACTACAGGAGGCAAGAAATGGAGTGATTCATGTATATTATTACTATTTTTGTTTTGCAAAGTTGATATGTTAGTCAGCGTATGTGCATCTTCAAACACTTGTAAAAGAAGAAACAGATCACAAGATAACTTACCACATAAATAGGCAACAAAACATTATTTGGACAATCGGAAGTGATGAGTGGTTTCATCAGATTCATACTCCGAAAACATATGAGCCTCGGATTCCTCTTCCGATTCAAACTCATTTGCAAACGATTCAGCCTCAAACACATGTGATTCATCTTCACCTAAACTTGTAGCAGGGTGTTCCTTATATAAGCCTTTGCTCCTATCCAGAAACCCTTCCTTCATCAGACATGCAAACCTATCCCTGATTTCAGAGATGGGATGTTTGTGAACAAGTTGATGACGATCATATGCTTCCCGCAGAACAACAGTTTGTGTGTTGTTCTTCTTGGAAATGTAGAAAATGCCAGGATGGCGCTCAAAGACCTTAGTGAACTTCTGCGGAAGATTCAGTGGCTTTCGAAGATTGCTAACATTTTGGCGCTCAGTTTTCTTTTGCACGGTAAGGTGCAAAAGCTCATGAAACACTCCCACGATTCTTTTCTCAGAAACATCCGTCCGTGAATCCAAATGGCTTGAATCATAGTAAGGCGAAGTATAGGGAAGCCTCTGCCACTCCTCCAACCACTTGATAGATTTCCTCTTTAACCCATATCCCCTTGGAAATCCAATACGAAAACCCAACCTACCAGCTATAACATCTTCGTCTTTTTGTTGCATAAGAGCATTCATTTCTAATTGTGAAACAGCAAGCTCATTGGGCCACGATATAAGCTTTAAAGCAACACGATCGTCAGGAAGGCGAATTAAAGAAAAAACATCCTTGTACTTTGGGATGAAAGAATCAACATAATCATGAGGCAAACCCAAATCCCATTTCAACTGGTCTATTGTTGGTAACGGAAGAATCATATCTTTAGTGAGCATAAGAAGCTTGCAAAGCCTATCAAGGAAATCTTTCTCATGTTGTCTAAAAACTGCATTTGCTTCTTGATTTAGTCTAATAACATCTGGGGTCAATCTAAACCAAGGAACAAGAGTACCACCGGTGTCAGGAACATGAAATTCATCAAAAATATTTGGGTATCTTCTCATAAAGGTGGAAATTTTGAGGTCTTCGGGAAGACCCAATTGGCCTCTCCGACGGCCGGAAAGCCGGTAGATGGGGAGGCAACCACCATAGTCAGCTGCTATAATGGACACAATTACCCAGGCTGCTCTGAGCTCTCTTTCACCTGTTACAACAGTATCTAATACACTATCCTTTACCCATTTCAACCTTACATTAACCAAATTGTATCTTTGGTTGTGTCTATACCCTAGATTACGGTAGTGAATACACGGAAACTTGTAGCTTTTTCCAAAACCCAAAATCCAACAAAGCATCTTCTAAAGTCATGCAACTCCACAGAGTAAATTCAAAGCAATTAACTGCTAGAGGACCGCAGATTGAAGATACAGATGCTGTGAATGAAAAGGCGAAAAAGACATGTAATTAGAAGTAATCAATGCCAAGATAAACTACAGACTGGGTACGCTGCTAAAAATTGGTGATAAAGAACTTGGGAGACCAAAAATGAAATAAAAACTGCATTAGGGGGTCGAT